TTTTTTCTTTTTCTTTTTCTTTTTCTTTTTCTTTTCTTTTTCTTTTTCTTTTTTTTTCCTTTTCTTTTCCTTTTTCTTTTTTTCCTTCTTCTTTTTCTTTTTTTTTCCCCCTCCTTCCTTCCCTCGTTTTTTGCCTCTCCCTTTCCTGGGCTGCTTCTGCCTCCCGTGGAGCCAGGGTGGAGCCCTTTGTGACATCACAACTTTCTCAGCCACCATCACCAGCGAGGTCACAGTGGCCGCACCCGATGTGTCACAAAGGGCTGCTCTAGGGAAAGGTGCCCCTGCCCATGGCAGGTGGTGCAACTGGATGTTCTTCAGGTCCTCCCAGCGCAAAATGTTCTGTGATTCTGTGCTATTCCCCAAAATATTAGTTTTCGTTTATGAGTAAGGGATGGAGAACAGGTGCAAAAAGATCTCTGCCTGCAAAAGGATTGTAAATAAAGCATTGCCTATGGATGCACATAGATAAATATGCATATAGATAAATATACATCCCCACATGCAGTCACCTGTTTTTTCCTTTAGCCCTTCTATAATTTTTTGCTTTGTTTTCTTTTGGGTTTGGTTTTTTCGTTGTTTTTTTTTTTTTTCCCAGAAGATGGTAATTTAGGGCTGTATAGACAGTTTTCCTGTGGTTTTGCTGAAAATTGAAGAATATGGTCTGATTTCCCCAGGTTAACAGGATATATAAAATGAAGGTTTGCCATTCCTTCCAATAACCCAACCTTCAAGTTGGTTGCAAGTATGCAATTTTCCTTTTTTATTAAATATACTGGGTTTATTTATAGGAAGTCAGAGGAAAATTGTATACTGGTTAATGTCAGCTAGATGTTGTTGAAGTATTTGAAAGCTCATCAGGAAGGTTTATTTTCTCAGGAAAATTCTGGCTATCAAAAGCATTTTGGCTGTGAGGGTGGTGAGGCTCTGGTACAGGTTTCCCAGAGAAGCTGTGGCTGCCCCATCCCTGGAGATGTCCAAGGCCAGGTTGGACAGGGCTTGGAGCAACTTGGGCTAGTGGGAGGTGTTGCTGCCCATGGCAGGGGTGGGACTGGATGATCCAAATGCCATGTATTAGTGAGTTGAGGCTATTTATTTTTAGTAGTATTATTAGCATTAACATTATTAGCATTATTAGCATTATTTTTACTTCATTTTTCCAACCATTTGAGGTTGAAATCTCACAAACTATTAAGAAATAATATATTTTGTAATAATTTAATTAAAATTGGCAATTCGTGAAGACAGATTATTTGTACTGCTGCTATGCTTACTAAAACTTCCCTTCATTGGAACTTGAAATACAGAAGCCAACAGGAAGGAGATTGTATGCTGATTTACCATGGAGAGGAGGATACTGAAAAGGAATTTTCTGCACAGAAGAAGAAAATTTTTAGAAGAAAAATTGTTAACCCCACAATAAGCTAATCATTATGTTGCACTACACACCACTGTGGGCAGAAATGTCTACATGATCTTTCCTTGTCTCTGCCAGGAGAAAGAATGCTACATCTGAGATTGTCATCTACTAATACTCTTGTGGTAGTTTAGTCTACGCCTTCCTTGGTGACCAGTTTGTAACCAAGGAAGTGCCCAGATTTACCCGGTATTCCCTACGATTTTTATGTAAGTCAGGGTATAAGAAGAAAGGGGGAAAGGTCTTTGGGCCTCTTTCCTTCCGGTGGCTTGGAGGTGCGAGTTTCCCTGCTGTTGAGTCTGTCGGGTTGGGGAGTGAGGCCTGGTAAGGCCCTGCTGAACTTGGGAGACAGAGGCTGCTGGCAATCGTTCCAGAGTGACTTTCTGTTGTCCCAAGGAGAGTAGTAAGACATTCTTTTGCTAATTCTTTTAGTTGCTAGATCTTGGGCTACTGGTTGGGATATATATATTTTATTTTGGTTTTGTTCCTTTTTTTTCCCTTCCCCCTTCCCTTTCCCTTTTCCTTGTGAAATTGTATATATATTTCAATTGTATATAACTGTAATATAAGTGTAAATATATTTTTATATATTGCTTTAGCTGTCTCTCTCGTTTTGGTTCTCTTGTTTTTTTCCTCTTCTCCCTTGGTTTTTGGGGGGTGGTGGGGGACTTCTTGTGGTGAGGTTTAGAGACTTGGCAGGGAGCCAGCTTCAAACCATATCAACTCTCCAAACCTGTAAACTCTTATTGTTCAAGTCTTTTTTTTTTTTCCTTTACCCTTTGGACCTCTCTTTAATACAGCTACTAAAAAATAACAATTTCAGATAAAAAGCTCTTATCATATTCTCTAATGAAAACATGAAATTATGTGGGACTATAAGGAAACTCCTTCTAAAACTGAGAAAAGCCAACTTATTATTTTTCCTCATTCTTAGGAAGATTTATCAATATAAGAATTAATTTTAAACTGTTTTTAAAACAAAATATTTTTGAGGCTATATTATTTCAGCATTTGAACTATTCTGAGCAAACTAAACGGCATTGTCTATTGGTGGACAATTCAGATCCATTCCAACACCAGGTCATTTTTTCAGTGTCCCATGGAAAAAAAAATGGGTTCAAAAATATTCAACAATCCAGAATGCATTGCAGTTTAGGTGGACTGTTAAAATGGTAGATATTTGTGATAAAATGCATATAATACACAATTTATTTCAAATCTATGTCCTGTTTCTTCAACTTCTTGCCATCAGTTATTTTTATACTCAGTGCTTAACAGTCTTATGTTTTCCTGTAGACTATTTATAAAAAACTGCTTAAAAAATGTACTATCCAATTCTTTTGAACGTTATTACAATCAACACAGGTTATTCATGGTAATTCCTCACATGAGGTTAAATTTTGAGACCTATCCTAGAAAAAAATTTATGTAAATTTTATGTGATAAAACAGAGCCTTAAAAAATATTTCAAGACTTGGGGAAATATAAATTTTGACATATCTAAGTCCTATGTCTTTCACATGTAATTGTGCCATCACACAAAACTTCATTACAAATCTTTAATTAGTTTGATAAAATGTTTTCACAAAAGATTTGTTTTCATTGGCATTTGCTCTAAAATCCAAAATCAGAAGTCTAATTGAATATCACTTCTCTTGATTGAAATTACCCTGATCACGGATCCAACTATTCCACAATGTTCAGCATCACAAAATGAAATATTTTACACTATGGACAGCAAAAAATCAAAGTATTGAAGGTTAATTAGCACAGTATGTTCTGGAAGGCCATGTTCTTTCTAATAACTCTTTGATAACATTTTTCATTTTCAAACAAAGAAAAAAAGGCTGTCTTGTTCTTTTAAGAAGAAATGGTATAGACTGTAAATTCTTTAAAGAAATTATTTTCTGGGACAACAGATTTAATTTTACATGGTAAATAATTGTAGATCTGGTGAAGGGCAGTGGAAATTAGACTGTGCTAAAACATTTCCAGAATAGAATGCAATGTTGTATGAAGGATTTAATAGAACTCATTTTGTTTGCATGAACTGTTAATATTAGAAAATATCATTACAAGTAGCAAAAAGGCTGCATTTTTTTCTTCTCAGTAGCATAACAGATTAGACTTTGCTGCCATTTTTTCACTAAATGTACAATCAGTTTATAGTATTTTGCTCAATTCTTGTCCCTGACAATGCCAGCAAAATTGAGCAGATTCTGAACACTCAAGATTTCATGAAACTGACTTGAGAAATTGCTGGATTTATTTCCAGGAATAGAAAGCACCAACCCCAGCCTGTACCACCAACAGATCATATGTGGTTCTAGAAGCTTTTCCTCCATAATATCTGAAGTTATTTGATTTTCAAATACCTAAAAGTATTGCAAAAGAGTCAAACAAAAAGAAACACTTTTTTAAAAAATTTAGTCCTTCAGAATAAAACTTGCAAAAAGCAAAGCTTTTGATTCATGTACTATTTAGTGTGAAGTTATCAGAGGATTATCAAAATATGTGTAAGCTTCTACACTTTGTTCTACAGTTTTTCTCTTCAAAATAATAACATACCTTAATTTTCCTGGATTTCTGGCTTGAAATGATAAATTTATCAGATAATGGATTTACAGGATGTTTGTACTTTGAAGTATGTTTCAAAAAGTAAAACATAAAAAAATTAAAATCTTAAAAATCAAAATTTGAAATGTAAGAAAAACTTATTTTTAAAAAAAGGCAAAACTAAAGGAACGACACTGATGGTGATTTTCAATCTTGTGTACTGAAATACCTGTTTTAAAAGAGCATTTAGCTGTAACAAGATCACATTTTAATCTTAAATTAGCAGGGAAGTCATTAAAAAATGAGCTTGCTCTTAATTTATATTTTTCATTCTCTTTTTACCATTCAAAAGTAAATATTTTCTTACATGTAACTTCAGCTGTTCATAAGCTATTACCCGGTATTGATAATGGTAATAATGAAAAGACTTGACTTTAATACAACTTTTATAAATAATTGGAAGATTTTCCCCAGTATATACTAGGATTTTATTTGTATACTGAGGATTTAACACATTTACTTCTGAATTCATGTTATTTGTGCATGTGAAAACTGAATTTCATGCTGTTCTGCATACAGACACCTGGTTTCTTGCCCAGATCACACTTCTAAAATTTCACGTGTATGTAAATAATATTCTATTTGGTGTCATCCATCCTTTCTAACTCACATCAAGAGCTTTGAGAGTGATTAATTCTTGTTCAAGGCTAAAAAAATATTAAGTTTCTTCTGACATCTCTACTCACAGCTTGGCAGCCCTGGTCACAGTTCAGGTTTATCTCAAAACTAGCTCTTACAAAACACAGAATACCAAGTAGAGCAGCAAGTTTACTGCTTGTCCTCATTATGCTTCATTCATGTGGTATATGGAAATAGAAGATACGATCAACAGTAATAGTGTATTCCTTAAATCCCCTTGTTAATCCTATAGTCTTGATCTGCACAAGCTTAAGGAGTTGCAGTCTGTGTGCAAAGTACTTTACATTCCTGTAATGAGAAATAAGCAGAGAGGTCCTACAAAGATCCTATTTCACACACAAAGAAAAATAATGCAGGAAGCATTGCATATACTAAATTCTGATTGAAGATGTAAGCCTAATCCATTTTCTCCTAGAGGTAAGAAAGAGCCTTAATGAGTCTGTATCTGCCTCTCCCAGAACAAGCAAGAAAGGAGATATGTGTTTATGTCTGCAACAGGCATGACAAGGCATAATTTGTCACTAAACGCAGCCATTTTACTGCAATATCAGCCTCTGTAATTAATGAAGCCTATTCACTTTAATTGTTCTTCCTGTAGTGTTTTGCAGCCTTATGGAAAAATACATTTTACACCAAAGCTGGTCTTTTGCAGCACTTCCTTTAAGAAGAAATGGGATAGCACTTCTGAGAGCAAATGTGACTATTCAGATCTCAAAGCAAGAGCTACACTTTCTGTAAATACAGTTTAATTAGTAAAATATTGCATTATTCCCTTTTTTTTAAACCATAATGTGTTTCTGTTCCATCAGTCATTTCATTCTGGGAAAACACTCTTGAGCAAACAGCAACCTTCTTCTGAAGCTGTCAATGTGAAGGTGTCAGAGTGGAGTTTAAAAAAACAAACTTGTGTGTTATCTCAGATGTACACTTTGCCCTGTGTTTAACCTCATCTGTGATGGCAGCTCTTCCACTTCATTTTTTGTTACCTACAGGTTCATCCTGGCCCACAGGACCTCACCAGCTGGAAGCATCACTGAGCACATGCATGGAACATGCTGTGGTATTGATTTTAAAATCTTGTCTCAGGGCCAGGAATTTCACAACTGAAATCCTGAAAGACAACCTTCAAGAAAAAAAACATTTGTAAGACTGTGCTTCTGAAGATCCATATTTTTTCATGCCATAAGTGTGCCTGTGTGAACAAATAAAATCTACCAATGCACAAAAATTGTCCTTATATTTGCCCTACATTCACAATCATTGAGCCTGTAGAAGTACTTAAATTAATACAGACCCTATGAAGCACTTAAAAAAGAAAGAAAAAAAAATCATCTTTTCTTGGCAAAAATGTAATAGTATTCTAAAAGTCTTACCTAATAATGTTTAAAATAATGGCAGACTGTTATGACCACATGGAGAATATTAAAGAAAATATACACCATGAATCTTTTTGTTCTTTCTACAAACTCCGAAGGGAACATTGTCATATATATATATGTAAAAATAAATGTAATTCCTTTGAATTCACAACCTCAATTATTCCAGACTAACTGGCAAAACTGATTGAAAAGCAGCCTGAAAGCTACCTAAAATATCCTTATGCAGAGGATGGTTAGTTTAGCATTTCAATAAATTCACACGGATGGAATTTAAGGGTAGTGCTGATCTGTACTGTTGTTTTTAAATTACTCTTGTGGCTGCTTTTCAGAAATATTCAAGGAAGACTATATTACTGTTAAAATGTCTTAAGGATCTTAAATTGAGATTGGAAGCATTTGGAAACTATATAACTTGCAAACACATACTAGCTGTTGTGAAAGAAGTTTATCAGCATGGATTTCTGAGAGGTGACAAGCAGAGATAATTTTGTTATTATATTGTCAAAGGAACAATATATATCATATTCTCCCCTATTTTCCCATTTCTGCTTTTCCTATTTGGGTTGGTTTTTTTCACAATTATTAATCACTGTCTGCTTATCAGTATCTCCCCTTCAATAATAACTTTTGAGTCTTCACAGTTTTACAGATAATAGAGGTCTAACATATTATTATATTTTTTTAATATTTACAGAAATAGGAAAGAGATGAGAGGAAATGGACTGCAAATGTCTGAGCTGTGAAGAAAGCTGAGCTCATGCACTGCTGGAAACGAGAGAAAAGGAGGCTTTATATTTGCACAACTCAAGAGTAAAACTTCAGCACCACTTTGCAACTGCTTAGACATGAAAATCAATCAGCTACAGTACCTCTACCCTTAGGAAGCAGGGTTCATTATACCCAGCTCTTAGAGAACATTAATTCTCTCTATGTGGGATTTACTGGCTCCACCTCTACTAATGGATAAAACTGGTCAAGTCTTTTTCTCTGTTCAAAATGGACAACCTGCACAGATCTCATTCATACAATTAAAATTTCTTCTCTCACAACTTGTGCCTGAGCTCATATCATGTAATGGGACTACCTCGTGCTCAGGAACTTTTGAGGGTGTTGGATTTTTTGCATCAAAGCCGCATCAGGAACCATGTCAATGACTTAACAGAATATGGTAGCAGCTGGGCTGTGTCCTCGGCCTGTATACTGGTATTTAAATTATACCACTGTGTCATCCCAGCTTTAGTTATCTAAACATAATTCTCACCTATATAAGTTCTATCCCTTCTATAGTAGAATAAAATTGACATAAACATGTTACCTCTGTATCTGCAGTGTTACAGGAGGGCTAAGTGAACCTAATCCTGGTGACTTACACTTTTAAGATTCTTTAAATCAAAGTTAGTAGCATCTTCCATCCTTACTGTTCTCTGAGCACAGACAAAGCATTTCTGTTGTACCCTCTTCAGCTTTCTGTAAAATTTTCAATGTTGAAATCCTTTCTTCCAATACTTTTCCCCCCCATGAATTATAGAATTGCTCTGATTTCCCTCTTTCAAATGAAAACCGCACGACTTTATCTGAGTAAATTTAACTTCACCTTTTCCCTTTTTCCTCTTGTAGTTTTAAAAGCCCCTTGTGACACTTCTTCCTTCAAACCTACCAGGAGCCTGCAATCACTACCCTGGAAAATCAGCAATTTTCCCTGATTTGGTAGGGAATTAACACTTTAATTTCTTTAAGCTTTATTTGGAAAAGTTAGTTAGTTTTTTTGTTTTTTGAATTCCGCAGTGTTCAAGAAGCTGAACTCAAGTGTTTTCACCAGCCTTTAGGTACCACATTGCTCTACAACATTTCCATGTCTGTGCTCAGTTATTCAGGTTTAAAGGCTTGCAGTTTTGGGTAAGACCCCAAAAAGAGCCTCTAAGCTGGTCATAAATTATTTCTTGCTATATAACATGGCATCCAACAGTTTCATGACTGCACACTGATGAATTCCCCAAATTCCAGCAATTACTGTTGTGTCAATGTCCTGAAGTTTCCAAAGGTGAACTTGCTTCCACTGTGTGTCCAAGTCTGAAATTCATCTGTTCCAGGTTTGGAAGCCAGTCTGTGAGGAATCCCCTCCCACTGAAAGCAGAGGGACTACTCTGGTGTTAAAAAACTGTGATTTGAGTTAAATTAGATTTAAAATATGTTGTGAAGTGCTTGCAAATCTTTCACTGAAGTTCAGCAATTCTTTCACTAAAAAGAGTGAGATGAGTAAAATCAAGTATTTGCAGGTTTATTTTCTTGCATCCCTCAAATCTTGTGAAAGAAGTACCTCACTTCATGTCAGAGTGATATCAGCAAAGTTTCTGACACTTACAGTCTATTTCAAAGAGTATATATATCTTGAAATGGGCCACAATATACATGTAATTTATGTATAGCCACAAATGATACAATGGGATTATATATATGATTAGTTGTGCAGCTGAATCTTTCTGCTGTGCCATGCTCAGATGATAAAGTAAGAGGGATTCAGATTACTCAATTTTTCTTTTAAGCAGCATCTTTTCTGAGCCACAAATACATGGTTCAGGAGTAATTGATTTTCTCTAGTAGGGTGCATGGATTACGTCCTAGCATGAGAAAAGTAGTGTTAAACTGTCAGTTATGCTAAATATCAGTTTTCATTGTCACAGTGGTTTTGGACTTCTTGCTAAGATTATCTTCATCAATAAAGCTGTAACTTTGCTTTGATTTATGTTTATTAACCTTCTTTTCCTTCAGCTTTATTTAACTTCCCATACAACAGCAATCCGAATTCAACCCTGTTTATTTATTCCCACACTTTATATAATGTTTTAGTGGTGCTTTTTTTTATACAGCAGATGATTTTCTTGATGTTGATTAATCATATCTCATACTATCAGCTCCCTCACAGCATTTCACACTTTGTGCTCAATAGATAAAGTATATCACAAACTGCATTATCAGTGCTCAGATAAACATGTCTATCTTTTGCTATCTATATTATTAACATTCCCATCTGCATTTCTGCACTCATAGCTGCAATTATGATATATTTTCTGCTTTCATAATAGTACCTTCCTTGTTGATTTGATAGTAGTTTACTTCAACATGTTCAGATTACCCCAGAAGTTAGTTGTTTATGGCCTTTATCTAATTACTGTAAATTGTAATATAGCATGCTATTTGTAAACATACAGCTTCAGTGATCTCTAAACATTACCATATAGTATGGTCTTTTTGTGCTTTAATATTTGTGTTTTTTAATAATTTTCCTTTTACTTCAGTTTTTAATGTCAACAGATTTAATAGTTTAGTTTTACTGGTTTTTCTTTCAGAGTATCTAGGTGTGTGTCATGGTTTGAGATAGCCCCAAAATCCAATCCTCTAGTCCTAGAGCCCTCCCCCATCTCAACCTAATGTGAGATGGGTTTTCCAGACAAAACATGCCAGACTCAAAGTGGGGGAAAGGGAATAAATTACAATGACTGTACAAATAAATATTATAACACATTATACACACGATCACAACTATCTCTATCATGACATATAGTATTTACAATGGACCAGATCTCTTCTCCCCTCCAAATAAAAGTCCAGGAGGGAAAGAAGAACAGATCCCTTCCAGTCTCTAAGCAGGAGTATCTTCCAAGGCAGCAGGTTTCTTCTTCTCATGCATGCAGCAGCTGATAGCTGAATTTCTGCCAGCACTCACGAGGGAGGTATCCAAGCTCCCTCGGCCCCTTGAGGCAGGTAAAGTGGTCTTCCGTGGACTACGTCACCCCAGACAAAGGTCGTTCCACCATGGTCATATCACGAGCACAGGGGGCTTCGTGACAGTCTGGTATCTTCAGGAGATTCAAGCTCCTTGCAGGGCCTCTGTGCCCTGTTCTCAGGCTGGGAGCTTCCCTGTAGCTTGCAGCAAGGGAGGCCCCCTAAGACCAACCTCCCAAACCATCCTGGCTCAGCTCCTCTCTCTCTCCGGTGCTGCATGTCCAAAACTCTTCTCCTTAATAGGAGTCCATCTCCCTCTTTTTCTCAGAGGGGTCTCAAAGGAGTTTGGGGGGTCTGGTTCAGTTCTTACCCCCAGAACTCTGTAGCTCTGCTGCTGACTCTCCTTCTCGGCTCTCCGGGACAACTCAGTGTCTCCCTTACTCAATTGCATGTCTCTGCTGCTTCTCCGGTTCAGTTCTTATCTGTCCTGGCTCTTAGCCAGAGTCTCTGGACGCTGCGTCTGCCACTGCTGTCTCTGCTCTGTCTCCGCTGCCCATGGTGAAGAAAACATCTCCCGGCTTAACTACAGACACTTAGCCCAGTCTAACACTGTTCCAAGTCTCTGCAGTCCCCCCAGCAGGGGCTAGAGAGCGGGGCCCAGAGGCCCCAAGGGACTCTGAGCCCCTTTCCTCGTGGCTCTACAACATGACCACCTCTCCTACCAACAACCAAACTACCACTCATCTCTTCCGGTGAGCTTGTGGAATGTTTACATTTTGCAGGAGCGCCCATTGGACAAAACTTCAAAACTTCCAGGGGTTTCCACCCCTTGGGGTTTTACCATTTTTCTTAGCCTCTGGGGGAAAACAAGATTCAAACCACTACAGTGTGCCAAAGAATCATCTCATGCCCAAGACAACATCTGATAGTTAAGGAGGGGGGGGTCTTAATTTTTATTTTGTCTAGTAAATAATTAGAATTTTTTTTACTTAATTCTTGACAGAAATTCTAGTGATCTTGAGTTACTCAATGCAAAATACACTGGGGGATCTGTGTTTTTGCTATTGCTTGTCCCATCTGCTGTTTTAAGTTGGGAAAAGCATGAGAAGCATCATTCCTGCATTCAGAAGGGGAGAGAAGGTACCTGTTTCTCTTTGTTTCATGGTTTTTGTAAAAAAGCATCAATTTGCAAGCATTTAGCTGGAGTAGTAATGTGTCATTTTTCATTGGGGTACATGTTGTTGATTGTCGAGCTTTTGCTCCCTCACTTTACGTGATAGTATGAAACACAATCTAATGGTTGTCAAGGGGAAACAGTCTTTGGAATGCAAAGGTCTCAAAGTCAGGCTTCTAAGTGCATGTATTAATTGCTAAATTTGCTATACATTTCTTCCCTCAGATATTCCACTTACAAAAACCTTCCTCACACCACCAGCACTTCAAATGCAAGTTTTCCACTGTTGCTTAAAAAGCTAAAGGTCTGTCCTTCCTTTAGAAAGGACATAGAGTTGCTGGAGTGAGTCCAGAGGAGGCACCAAGGTAAACAGAGGGATAGAACAGCTCTGCTGTGAGGAAAGGCTGAGAGAATTGGTATTTTTTAGCCTGGAGAAGAGAAGGTTCTGGGGTGACCTAATTGTGGCCTTCCAGGACCTGAAGGGGTTACAGGAACAATGGAGAGAGTCTGTTTACAATGGCCTAGAGTGACAGAAGAAGGGGGAATAGCTTCACACTGACAGAGAGTGGAGTTAGATGGGATATTGGGAAAGAATTAATCTCTGGGAGGGTGGTGAGGCCCTAGCACAGGTTGCCCAGAGTAGCTGTGGGTACCCCATCCCTGGAAGTGTCCAAGACCAGGCTGGACAGGGCTTGCAGCAACCTGGGATAGTGGAAAGTGTCCCTGACTGTAGCAGGGGCCGGAACAAGTTGAGTTTTAAGGTCCCTTACAACCCAAACCCTTGCTGAAATTCTGTGATTCTATATCCCATTTGTTTGTTTCCAGGACTTATTTTCTAGATGTCATATTGTGAATTCTACATCCCTCTTAAAGGAACTTGCATTTAAAATTGTGTTTCATGTTTGCAGTTCACATCTCTGAGCCACAATGTTCTTGGTTTTCTTTTCACCTACATGCAGGTTTTAAACACACATCAATGTTTTTGAACTAACATAGTCATTGTCATATGGTTCCCTCCCTTCTGAGTGAGTTATTAATTTCCTGCTTGAAGAAAATGGTTATTTTTAAATGCAGAATGTCTTACATGATAGCTGGGTTAGTTAAGAGTCACATCAAAAGAACAGCAATCATCTTAATTTCTTATCAAGTCCTAGGAGTATTTCATCCTTTAACTGACAGAATTTTAAGCCTACTTAAAATTGGGGTTTTTTAGATATTGGCACTATATTGTTATTCCAGCTATCAGTTTCCGTTTGGTAAAGCATGAGTATGTACGGAGGTAAAAGTACGAAACAAATAGAATTTCCTGCAAAGTAGGAGTCCTAAACTTTACTGGTGATATTCATGGCTTACAGGCAGCTGTGTTTCCTATCTGCTCTCCCCACCTGTTTGAGAACAGGTTGATTTCTCTTGTTCGTGTAGAAACTACAACAGTTTCTGGCTCACCAGTGCCATTCTCATGCTCTTAGGCTGTTCCCCTGGAGCCAGGTTGAATTTCATCAGCAGAACTGTTCTGCTTCAAATCTCCTAATACTGTTAAAGAAAGGAATGAATAAGGCTCTCTATTTATTCTCTAGGAAATATAGAGTCTCACTGTAGGGGGAAAAGGTTGGTAAACATCATAAAAAGTACATTTTAACGTTGTTTTTTTTTTCTCAGCACACCTTCATAAGTGTAACACTTCCTTTCCTCGTAATTGATGTGCATAAAAAACAGGTTGAAAAACAATTGCTGTGCTTGTCATTATATATACATCTAAATATATATATATATTAAAAAAAATACTTTCCAGGGCTGTTCCTTGTCAGGTAAAAATAATTCCTGAAAGAAGTAACACAGTGAAATGAAAGAAAATAAAATAACTTGCTAAATCAAAAGTAAAATTACTTAAGTTTGTTGAACTGAAATTATGTTCGTGCAGCCTGACTTACATTTGCTATTTTGACTAACTTAAGGAAGTAATTAGAAAAAAAAGCTTAAGACATATATCAATGGCAATGAGTTAACATCAGTAGTTAACATCATTTTGTAACTAGAATTAACGCTGCATTTGGCAAAGCAATATTTTGTTATCTTGCTGTGAGTACTATCTTGGTATTTTAGAAAAACATGGTAAATAAGATCTTTAAAAAATTCATGTGAATCTCTCCTAAAAATGAAAGTGCCATTTGAAAACTCAAACAATTTAATCTGTATAAATTATACTTTATATTTTCATCCCTCACAAAACCTTATTCAATCAGTTCAGTTATATCATTCCATCATCATTAATGGTCCATTACCTTTACTGGGTTTTCAAATCACTGGTTTTAGGCAGCCCAACTTCACTATTGCAAAAAATCTTATTTAATCATCCTCATCATCCAGTTCAACACATTTCAATTTGACACATTAACACATTAGGAAGCTTTATTGCCTTATTATCCAACTAAGAGGAAAGAAAATGTAATTCACACATCCATAGTATGAATTAAGTCCAATAGTGTGAACTCCCTGCTAGGAAAACCTCTCAAGGCATTTAGCTTCCTTCTGCTAAAATCTTTCACGTGGTCAGTAGTCATTTATATTAGTGGTTAAACAGTTCCCTCATCAAAATCTCTTCTCAAAGTCATCAAAATATCTTATATTCTTGTTTATCTTTATTTTATATAAACCGG